AACAGTCTGCTATTCTGTATTTTCATTATAAATAGCTTAGCTAATGTGTTATCTACCTTTTTAGATTCTATTAACCTTATTACAATATGCAGAGCATTCTATATTTATAGTAATATATGGTCTACTATATACTACATATTTAGAGGCTATAGCCTTATAATTATTAGTTTTATAATTCTCTATATATTTACTATATTTTATTAATTAGCTGTATCTAGCCTAATAGTAGCTATATTTATTATAGTTATAGTATTTCTAAAAGCGTTAATACTTCTTGTATTTACTAACCTATGCTATATTTCTATTAATTTTGACCTGTTATTCAGTAAAGGCTTATTAGGCATTTTAGGCTATAGCTAGGTAGACCACTATTGATCCTTTCGATTTTTCCCTTTTAGACAGCTAGAATGCCTTAGTAGCACCTATAAACTCGTTCTTAGCTGCAAATTCTGCTAAGAATTCTAAATGGATTATTCTAATGCCTAGTATTAAGACTGCTATTCTAAATGCGTTATTGACTTTGATTAGGAAATAATCCTCTTTATAAGTTTGGGCTATATTAAATACTTAATAAACCTATCTATTATTTAATTATAATTATGCTATATCTTTTTCGTTTTAAGTAATAACCCTTATAGATCTCGCTCTTATCTGAATTCCTTTAATAGTAATTATGTAAACTAATAGCTAAAAAGCTATTGCTTCTCAATTTTTTCTGCTATAGCTTTGCTATTTATAGCCAGCTCTTATTATTTAGCTAGCATTTGGCTAATGTTAATTATAATACCTAGGAGTTGTTGTAGCTTCTCTAAGGAAGTTAGTAGAGTCAATGGCATTCCCTTGCTTATAATAGGTTAGGTAGCTAACAACAATGGATTGACTAATCTTAATACTATAGAGGCATATAAGGTTAATAATAATACTGCTGTATTAGAGTCAGCTAAGGACAATAGGCTCAACTGTTTAAAAGTCAAGAGGATTGTTCTTCCTTTATTAACGCTAAAGCTAATAGTTCTAATCTCTATATTGAGAACCTTAATATTAGCATTTAAATCCATTAGTTTAGTATTTATTATTTTAAATTCCTTCTTAATCTCTTTAATTCCTATAAGCGTGTATTTAAATTTCTTTTTAAGCTTCTTAGTTTCCTTTTTAAGCTCCTTAATCCCTATAAGCGTGTATTTAAATTTTATCTTTATAACGTTAAGCTTTATTTTAGCTATATTGAGTTTTTTTATAATAATATTAAATAACGCTATTATAATGGTATTCTCTTAATAAAGGGCCTCATTCTAAGTTTTAAAAACCTTATTCTAAGTCTTAAGTTGCTTAAGCAGTTTATCAAATTTGCTATTCTAAGCGTTTATTGCTCTTTTAATAAGATGTTTCATTATATCTTTAGTAAAAACAGTATTATTATTTAGATTAAGAGAGCGGATAGGCTAAATCAGCCTTTTACTATTCTGTTTAATATTTCTAACTCTTCTTTAAGCTGCTATAGCAGCAATTAGTCCCTTTAGAAACAATGCTAGTATAACTATAGTAATAGCATTACTAGGATAGTCAGGTAGCACCCTTTCCTTTAACTAAAATTAACAGGAGTTGGATAGTTCAACTTGTTGAGTTGGCTTGTAGATAAAACTGTCAATAAAATAATAAATATTAATAAAAAATATCGATATTGTTTAGGTGAAGTTGTATAACTATAGCAACAGCGTTGCTAGGATGGTCAGGCAGGGACCTTACCCTCAATTAAAATCAATGGGAGTTGGACAGTTCGACTTGTCAAGTTGACTTGTAGATGAAACACTTAATAAACTGATAGATACCAATAAAAAATATTAATATTGTTTTTCCTCTTATTGATAGATTGATTAATTAATTAATTGTTTTATACGCTATATGCTTGCTACTGGAAGTATAAACAACTACTATTTATATTTTACTAATTATAAAATTATATATAGAATCTATATCTTATTCTGCAGCTTAGACTATTAGGATGTCTATACACCTATTTTATTTAGGTATTCTATAGCAAATACTGTAACTAGTATATATATATATATATATATATATATTTTTTGTTTTTAGCCTTGCTTTCCAGCTCTGTATTGCTATTCCCTGCTTTGCTCCCTAGGTTGTCCTGCTCAGCTTGGCCTTCTAACCTCCTCTGTTTCTTTATAAAGTCTAGTCTCCCTATATCTATTACGTATTTAATAGTTATCTAGACTATATCTATATCTACTCTCTATTAGTCTGCTAGTTTATCCCTATAGGGTTGCTTTATTACTATATAAGGGTTACATCCCTCTATTATATAAGAGATGTTGCTAAACTTAGGGCCTAATGCCTTTGCCAGTTTTTGCTTTTAGGTTTTGTATCTGGGACATAGTAATACGAAGTGTTGGACTGTCTCCTCTTCCTATCCGTATTTGTACTAACTTGATTTTGTAACTTTGATAACTGCTAGGAACTTGTTTAGCTGCATATGTCCTGTACGCAGCTGCATTAGGATAGACGCCTCTTTCTTATTCAACTTGTTGTAGAGTAGCGCAGTGTGTTTGCCTAGAATAGCGCTATCTATTGCGCAAAGGCTCTTACCTATATTCCACAGTCTCTGTTGTTCCTTAGCCAGGATCTTGTCCCTAAGGGTGTTCCACACTTGTTTCATACTGTCTGGGACCCTTTCTCCTTTTACTGGTTCTGTAGTGTGAAGGCTCGTGGCCTGCTTGGCTAGTCGGTCTGATTCGACATGTCCTATGACTGCAGCCTTCTTTGGGTCCTCTTGTTGATAGTCTGGTAGCGATGAGACGTAGAGGTTGTGCCCAGATCTTTCGGTGTCAAGTGAAAGGTATAGAGCGCTTCTCATGTTAGAGACTCTCATCCAATAGCATCAAGCAATTGGTTCGGTCTGGTGGTCTAGGGGTATGATTCTCGCTTAGGGAGTTGTTCATTCAGCTCATTCTACCTGAGCCTGTTTGCGAGAGGTCCCGCGTTCGAATCGCGGCCAGACCCTTTCTTTTGACTTTTTTCCCCCTTCAAGCCTTCAAGTTGTTTCGTAAGAACGCATTTTTGGAAATACTTTTGTCCCATTTTCAGTGAACAGGTCCTCCAATTAATTCTCCCTTCTTTTTTACTTCACAGAAACATTACACGCACCTCCGCTCCCCTGCTGCTTGGATTCGTTCACTATGTACTCTGCAATCAATATAGGCAGGACATGAAACCAACCAGCAGCGCCCATAACGATGCGTTGATGTGATGCAATTTGCAGCTCCACATGCTTTTCGTGTCATAGTGAAGACCATGTGGTGGTCCATGATCACCTCTGGTGCTTTCACGACAGGCGATAACAGCTCGCTCTATCGCTTGCCAACCATGGCTTGCTTGGTATGCGTGTGAGGTTCTCAAACTTTCATCGCAATTCTTCTGTAATTCGCCTGGTGCCCTACTGTCTGCTTATTAAAATACGAATAATAAAACATTGCAGCGGTGGATTCGTTTCGGACCTTATATTCGACATGGGAAGTATTGGTCTTCAATGTAAGGCTCTCTAAGAGCTTGTTCAGATAGAGTCAAACAGGAATTTCTGATATCAGACGAGGCGGAAATCAACAGTTCACAACCAGAAGTTGTATTCTATCCCAAGCATGTGAGTGACTTCATGGATTCTTATGGATAATGGACTTTGATGTGCCATAACTCATGTATCTCTATTTCTGTTCAATATAGAAATAGGTAATTTCAAAGGTTCAGGGAGTGTGTAGTTTGGAAAGGTCTGCACATACTTATATAACCTTATACTATCTATTCCTATCTCGAATATTGGGACGTCTGGTCGCTCATCGAACAGTATTGCGTAGCCCAGATCATCACCAGATCTACACCATTCGTCGGAATCTGTGGGCTCAACGGGCTCTTCAAGATCAGAATCAGCATTGACAATTTGACACCGAATCCTCTTGGGTGTTCCTCTGGTAATCTTCAATACGCTTTGACCTATTCAATAGCCTCCTGGTATGACTTAGTGTTCATTTGTTTGCTGGCTTCCCTGAAATGCAGCTGATTAGGTACTTTGGGCTCGCTCTCCATTCCCCATGTCCTGATGCACGTAGAACTACGTCCATAATTCTCTCTGATGAGTACATAATTCCATGGCTCGATCGTCCGAGCGATGAGCTTCTCAATAGTGCTGTACAGTGGTCGAAAGCGGATCGGGTGCAGTATGAGACAATTCGGATCTCGGTTCCCGAATCTCTCACAATTTCTACCTTATGGCAGCCGCTGGAACCTGGCTGAATATTTCGAGATTCGATAGTCAAGACGTCCCCAACCCGGCGAATCCGCACTAGCTGAGTAGGCCCAGTATCTTCCCTTCCTCGAAACTCTGAGGCTCTTTCGCCTTTCTCACGGGCGTCAAGCATGTTGTCGATTTCGACTGTGCCTCTGCCTACTAAGACAGTCGACCCGCCGTATACAAGTGGAAATAGCATCGAATCCACAATGTTCTGCCAGCCCTTCTCTACGTCGGAAATAATTTCACGTAGAATCGAACCTGTCAGCCATCATATATGGTCAATGGATGCGCTAAAGGACCACCTCTTTCACTGTAATTGCTTGTTGTCGTTGGAAGGGGCCGCCGATGTCGATGCCAGGCTCTGTGAATGCCAGACTATCGAACCTAGATCATGGCCAGGGCAGTCTATCACATGGCAATTGCATTACTGGGACTGTTTCTCCGCCCCTTGCCTGTCTTTTTCAGTCCGAACGCAACATTGTCTGGCTAGATATTCTCCATGCATGTGAACAGCAGCCACTCTCACTGCGACATGCGCACAGGCATACCACACGTGGAAGTGAAAGCGGCATTCTGTTCGAGTGCCTTCTTGACTTTCTCAAGCGCATGCAAGCTTTCGTGGAGCCCTATCTATTCTATCAAAACAAGATCTCTTGTTCTTGTTGGAAATCTAAAAAATCTCCAAGATACGCCAAAAGTTGGGCGCTGCCGGGATTTGAACCCGGGACCTCCTGCAGACACGCTTTCGAAGTGTGGAGCTTCAGTTCACCCGAAGCAGGAATCATGCGACTAGACCACAGCGCCCTAAAGCGAAGGGGCATCCCTATGTTGATTTAGCACAAATTCTTTTGCGTATATGTATTTTTCCATGATTCCTCGCCAATACATGCATACCGAAAAACGAAGAAAAAAGAGCAAACGACAGACATCGATATTTTTTATCGATATTCATCAGTATATTGACAGTTTCATCTACAAGTCGACTCGACGAATCGGACTATCCAACTCCCGTCGATTTTAATTGAGGGAAAGGGTGCCGCCCGACCATTTCAATGACGCTGTTGCCTGAATGACAAATGGGTCCACCAAGTATTCGAAATGGCTCGAACTCACGAAGAAGATCGCTTCCCAATCAAAGTCGACGACGTACCTAGGACAGCAGTCCTAGAACCGGGCACCAGTAAAATCCGCCCAGAGTTCGTAGCAGCATTTGCGGCTGAGAACGAGTTTACAGGCGCTACTAAGGCGTTCTGACTGTCTAAGGGAGAAAAACCGGCTGGATCCATAGTAGTCTACTTAGCTACAGCTGAGGATGCCTAACGAGCTCTCGCCAAACAAAGGGTTAAGATTAATGAAAACATAGCTATAGTCAGCAAATACAAGAAACTTTAACGCTCCTAGAGATGCTACAACTGTAACAAATACAGCTATTATTAGGCTAGATATAGCTAACTAATGAAATATAGCAAATGCGTAAAGAATTATAAAACTAATAACTATAAGGCTACAGCTTCTAAATATGCAATATGCAGTAGACTACATACTGCTATAAATATAGAATGTTTTACATACTGTAATAAAGTTAATAAAATCTAAAAAAGAAGATAATATATTAATTAGGCTATTTATAATAAAGATAAGGAATAGCAGACTGTTATTAATTAACAAACTAGATAGAAAGTCACTATAAGCAATGTATAATAGGAGACACCTGTTTCCTTTTAGCAAATGTGAATAGACAACTCCTAGTTCAATTTAGCCTTATTAACAATCTGTTTATTAGCTAGTTTACAGTAATTATAAATATTAATAGTAAACTATACATTTCCTAATATTAATACTAGACTATTGTAACTCTAACTACTTATTAAGAAGAACTAACGCATTATACGTTTTAGTTAACATTTTATATTTATAAAAATGTTCTATTTGTTCAGTTCCCTATATAGTTATTAAATATAACTATAAGGGTTATTACTACCTTAATAGGATACATTTTTATTATGTTAATCTATATTCTAAGCTATAGCTAATATGCCTCCTCTAAGCAGGACCTAGAAAAGGCAGTTATTACTAGGCTTAACGCGCTAAATAGAGCTATTTAAAAAGCGAAATTAAAGCATAGAGAAAACCTCCCTATTATAATAGGAAGCAACTTTAATTACTACAATCTAATATAAGGAAGAGTCAATATGCCGCAATTACAATATATAAAAGAAAATGAACTAGTGCTTTAATAAATGCATTAATATAATACCTTTTTAATATTATTAAATAGTATAGTTACGTTCCTATAAAGACGCTTTAAAACTACTATTAACCTTATATTAGTATTTAACTTAATAGAAGATCAGGTTACAGAATGCAGTATCCACTTAACTTAATATAGGTTGGACTATAAAGCTATAACACTTTAAATCAAAAAGGTTAAAATAGTTGCTTTGCTAAAGGTTAAATACAACTTTAGAAAGATAAACTAGGATATAGCTATTAAAGCGCTTAAAGAATAGAGACTATTAGTTATTAATATTAATAATACTATTAAGCTTAACTAAGTAGTTACAGAGATTTAGAATACAGTAAGTTAATGCATTTGTAATTATAGCCTAATAGTTAAGAAATCCCTATATATAAAATTATAATAAGATAATAAACTTATTAAGCTTTATAATAAATATATTTAATAACTAAACTAGAGTAATGCATTATAAACTAGAGGACTAAATAAGGAAGAAAGTTATTGCAAAGCTAGGTAAGCTAAGCATTAATTTTATAAAAGCATTTATAATAAAAAGCAATTATATTAAAATAATTTCTTAATATATATAGACAACATCTAGAAAGCAGCTAGGTACCTTGATCTATAACTATTAGCGTTTAGCAACATCCTTACTATAGTTATTAGCATTAAAGGCTAAAAGGTGGAGCTTAAAGGTAACAATGCTAAAGCAACTAAGCTACTTTAATGCTTTTTCCTACTAGTTTTAAAAAGCTAAAAAGAGGATATGCCAAATCTTAATACAAAGTATATAAACAATCTGGATATCTCTATTAAAAAGGTGATTAAAGCAATAGCTAAGATTAGCCTATATAAAGCGCTAGATATAGATAGCATTTTAAACATTATATAAAAACGCTTATAATTTATTTTAAATAATTAAGTTATTAATATCTTTAATGCGTTATATTAATTAGGATATATACTAACTATATAGAAAACAATGCAAATCTTACTATTATAAAAGCTAAGGAAACCTAACTACTACGTAGTAAAAGCATATTGCTCTATCTTCCTCCTATCTACTCTAAGCAAGCTAATAGAACTAGTTCTAGTAAGAAGAATGTTATACTAGGTAGAGACCTTTAATCTCCTTTTAAAAATATAATATAGAGCTAAGCTATAATAATTATATAATTAAGCGCTACTTCTCTTTATTAAGAAAATCTTTAAAGCGTAGTAATAGAAAAAGGTCCTCTTCCTTATTAGCTTTAATATAAAAGGAGCGTATAATAGCGTCTCTAAATAAGTATTTACTAATTAGCTATATATAAAAGGAATCCTAATCTATATAATTATATAAGTCAACTCCTTTTGCACTAACTGACTAGCTATAGTATTAGTTAATAAAACAGAATCAAATTAAGTTACTCTTACTAAGTCAGGCTTTTTATAAAAATCTACATTTGCTTTAATTCTATATATCTTCTTTAACGCCTTCTTAATAAAAGAGAAGATTAATAGAAGATAAGGCAATATAGGGTTTATAAATAACTATACTAGATAAGCTATTTTAAAGTTAATAAAACAAAATATATTAGTATTTAATAATGAAATGGTCTTAAAGGCCTTTTAATAAGCAAAAGACAGTAACGCTATATTTAAAAGCAATAAGACAATCCTTATATATTTTATACAGAATTATAGAAAGATTAGCAATACTGACCTCTTACTAAAAGTAGGCAATTATATTGTTAAGCCTTTAATAAAAGAGAGAATTTTAGGGATTGTCTTTAACGCTAAGCTACAATTTAAAAACCACTTAGCTAAAATTAAAATAAGAAGATAAAGAAGCGCTGATTAATTTAAACGCCTCTTTTATATTAGATTATGATTAGCGCATTAACTATACTAAGCTATAATGGCTTTAAAAACTGACTATGTAATAGTAATATAGTACTCTTAGTTCCTTAAAAGAAAAATTGACAATAGCATTATTAAAATCATTAATTCTATATAAAGAATAAGAGCCTAAGCAGTAGTTAAATGCTTCTATATAATATTAATAGAAGCGTTCAGTACTAAGGCGTTGCTTCCTCTTCTATATATCCAATTTTAGTTAAAGATTAGCAAATTTTAGATAGGACTCTATACACTGCTAGAAATTAACTTATTGAAGGTACAGCTGCAAAAACTGGTTAAGAAATCTAGAGCAAAGTTATTTGCTTCCCTACTTTATTATATAAAAACACAGCTAAGCAAGCTAGGGATAAAGATTGAAACTATCCTAGTATAGATAGCTCTATTATAGGGCACAACAACAATTAGCTATAAATCTAATTAATGTAGTTTTAATAAAGTATATAAAAACTACTTTAAAATAAAAGATTAATATCTGAACATCTTTACTAACAGCTCTATTGCTAACAGGCAGGTAGGAATCAGAATGGCTATATACTTTAAAAAGCTTATATTATTGGCTATTCTCTTATTATAAATCAAATTAGAAAATAATATTAACAGCACATTAATAGAGCTAATTGTAATTAAAGAAGCTATAATAATAGCTGGAATCATACTGGAAACACTTTATAACTATAAAAGGCTGTTTTTATAAATATTAATACAGTTTAATAGCAAAACGGCTATGTAGATAATTAATTGCTAGATTAGCCAAAATAGAGCTATAATAGTGTAAAACATTCTTTATATAGTTAATCATTATGCAAGTCTTAAAAAATAGCTAGCTATTTAATAAATCCTAAAAAAGTTTGCTATTATAGGATACGTTGAGTTAGATTAACTAGCTAAATAAGCTATAAGTTCCTTTATTACAGCATTAAATAACAAGGGTAAGGGAATCCTGGATAATATAAAATAAATATAGAACACTATTAAATAGAATCCTTATTAAAGAATGTTAAAAACTATAAAACACTAGCAAAAGCTTTTATATAATGAACAGTGCTATTCCTAGTAAACACATTGCGCTATTTTACAATAAGCTAAATAGGAAGGAGGCTGCTATCCTATTATAATTTTGAATAAGATATACCTATCTAAATAAGTTCTTAGCAATTATTAAAGTAACAGATATAGATTAATACAAATATAGCTAGGAAAAGGAAACAGTTTAATATTTTATATTACTCTGCTTTAGATACTGTATATAATAATTACTTTAAAATAAAAAACAATGATTAAATATTTTTACTAATAGCTTTATTATTAATAAGTAAATAGAAATTCAAATAAGCGTATATTTTAAAAAGCTAATACTACTATCTATTTTCTTTAGCTGATTAAATTAAAAAGAAATATCGATAATATAATAATAAAGTTACTTATAATTAAAAAAGCCGTAATTTTAGCTAGAGTTTTACAAAAAATACTTTATAATTATAAAAAGCTAATTCTTTCGATATCTATATAGTTTAATAGCTAAATAGCTATTTATATAATAAATTACTAGAAAAGCTAAAATAAAGCAGCTATAATATAGAATATTCTTTATATAATTAATTATTATGTAATTTTTGATGAATAGTTAGCTATTTAATAAATTCTAAAAAAGTTTACTATTATA